AAAAGTCAGACTTTTTAAATAAATAATACACATCCAATTACAGTTAGCTTCACTATCACTCGGCCAAAAACAATCTATTAAAATATATAAAAGCCCAATTTTTTACATGCTGAATTAAAAGTCATTAATGATCTGGACTTTTGTAATTAACCATGAAGCTGGTAAAAGGAAGAAAGCAAAAGAAACATGTATTTGGAAAAAAAAGGTGAAACTCTATTACTGAACCATCTTACTGCTCAGTTTTGAACCCTAGCATTAATTCTGTCAGCACACTTTATCTACCTGAGCACAATTTAGAATCATAGAACAATTAGATGACCTGTGTTGGAAGGGATCTTTAAAAATCATCTTGTTCCAGCTCCTCTGCAATAGGAAGGGACACCTTGTACTTAACCAGGCTGCTCAGAGCTCCATCCAGCCTGGCCTTGAGCACTTCCAGGGTGGGGTACTCACAACCCTAGGCAACCTGTGGCAGTGCCTTACCACCCTCAAAGGGAAGAGTTTCTTCACAATATCTAATCTAAATTTACCCTCTTTCAGTTTGAATCCCTTCCGCTTTGTCCAACACACTCTTGCAAAAAGCCCCTCTCCATCTTTCTCATAGGCTCCCATTGGGTACCAAAAGGCAAGAATAAGGTCAACCCCAAGCCTTTTCTTTTCCACTCTGAACAATCCTGATTCTCTTAGCCTTTCTTCTAATCATCTTGGTGGCCCTTCTCTGGACTCGCTCCAACAAGTCAACATCCTTCCTGTGCTGGGAACCTCAGAACTGGATGCAGTACTTGTGTTGGGGTTTCACAAGATCTAAACAAATGCAGTGGTGCTGAGAGGGCAGTGAGGAGTCAAATTCCAAACAAATTTTCACATAAAAATTGACTTTTTTCGGTGATTCAGGACTAGAGAAAGAGACTGTTCATTGCCAGACAGAAAATGTCCGTAAATGTCAGAAAACCAGCAATGATGATGAATGTAACTTTTTCTAAAGTAAAACTGCCTTTTTAAATATTTCCAGGGATAAACCACAAGTTTTTCTCCATCAAAAGCAAGATTAATTACATCTTGTTGACCTAGGGTCTCCTATAAAAAAGGAACCAGCTTGCTCTATTCAAGTATTGGAGAAAGATCCCAGACTCTGCAGTGGGTTGTATTTTACTATTTATTCTAAATTCTCCAGCTGCAGCTGGAGTCTCTCCCTTCAATGTTTACTGTTATTTAGCCCATAAGGAAATGTAAAGGATGAAAACATTTTTGATCAATGGATTCAGTCCTGGAATTTCTTTGCGTGTGGCTCCCTATGATTTCTGCAGTGTGAATATCTACTTCTAACTTGACTCTACAATAATTTGCCACTCAGGAAAAGGTTTTTGAGTGGATATTAGCAATTTTATTGTCTTCTGTACCATTGCTACTGTTTTGGTCATCAGAGAGTGAAAGACTGGAAGATGATACGTGTGCAATCTTACAACTGCCTTTACCGAATGCAATGACAATATTTTTGAGATTGCCAGTCCTATTTCTATGTTTTATTTCAAGCTGTTTCCAATAATTATATAGTAAAGCACCTGTGCTGCATGAGTATCAAGGGTGTTAAGGACAGAAATTTTTGCAGATAAAAGAACTATTTTTTATATCTTAAATTGATTTTTTCTTATTCAAGCAATCCAGCAGAACAATCTACACCCAAATTTATGAATATGTTAAGGTATGAGAAGCAGAAAATTAAAAGGTGACTGTATGGCAGCAGCTCTAATTGATATTATTCAAGCTGGTGAAGTACAAGAGCACAAGATAGAGCTCAGTTCTAAAAAGCCTTTTTCAAAAGAGTTCAGATTCTACTGGTTACACAGAAAATAATTGTTATAACTACTTATATTTTTATACAGTTGAGATACACAGAGAAGTGTCTCATCTCCCAATTCATTCACCTAATTGTAAGGCATATAAACAGCATGATTATTTGCTAAAAGGATTATGATTCCTAGTGTTTGGAAACAGAGCTGTTACTTCTTGTAATTATCAATTGAGTTCATAGTAATTTCATTTCAAGACATAGTGCTGATTTCTTGTGCTTCCAAAATGATATTTTGCCCATGCATATGGTACAGTTGCTGTGTTATGTCCATCATAGCTGTTTTCAGGTGTGTTTAGAAGCCTTCCCAATATGGCTTTGGTGGCTGCTAAAAGCATCAATCTATGACTTTAATCAGTAGATATGTCAATGTGATATGGTCATGTATGGAATATAAGTCTGTTGGTTTCAGATAGGGTATCCAAGCCACACCCTTTTAAAGCAAACAGGGCAAATAGATATTGCCTTTATGCTTTTCTACACATTGAGAATGCAGTTTGAGATGGTTGTTAATGAGGCCCTCCTGTCAGGGATTCACCTTCCAACAAGCCCAAGTTGGTGCTGTTTACTCCTGAGACAGACAGTACAGATTTCACCAGGTGAAGGTTGCATTTGTTGGCCACTATAATGTACAGGAGAGATGTGACTTTACTCACAGCCTCCCTTCCCCCTCCACCCTTCCTACACAACCGTTTTCTTGAGCAAGATCATCTGGTAATTTTTGCTCTGGATTCAGGGGCAGTGTACTAGAAACAAGCAGGGCTGGGAAAGACTACAGGAGATGGACTAAATTCAATATCCCAATGGTGATCAGTTATATCTGACTGAAGATTCTCCAACCTGTTCTGAAAACCCTCCAAAATATATCCAAGCAGTGTATTCCAGCACTGTATTTTTCCAATCTGTCTAAGCTTTCTGCTATTACCCAACCTGAATTGAGTTCAATTTAATTTCCCAACATTTTTCTCTCTCCAGGATGAATTTAATGGAGGGAATAAAGCATTTATTTCTTTTTTGAAAAGCCTATCACTTATTTTAAGCTCATCACTGTAAATCAGCTCAAGCAATTCCACCTTTCTTTTCATTCTTGCTCATGAACCTTGCATACTCATCCTTGTTTATCCTCAGAGGTCTATGTCCAGCTAGTCCATAGCTTTTTTTAAGTGTCCCATCATGGATATTCCTGAGGTTGTATCAATACCACACAGAGCATAGCAGGTGGTTAATTTTGCATTTTGCAGGCTATACTTTTATCCACACTGCAAAATGACATTTTTGCTTTTTACAGAAACATAGTATTCTTCACTCATATTCCCCTGTGGTGTTTCATGGCCCTCTGCTAGGGAGACTGGACAGAGTTCCCTCTGTAAAATCAGTCCTGATTCCCCAAGTGAGCTTAAGTTTTGCTCAGCATGTAGAAATCTGTGCCCTCCAGCAATCAAAGCATTCAGTGATCATACAGACTTCTGAGAGCAAATCATACTTTAAAACAAAAGCATTTAAAATAAAATCTTAAAACCACAGGAAAAATTATGTGCGCATCTATGGTATTAAGTACCTAATTATCTCCCACAGCTGGACCCTAACCTTACTAAAGAAATCCCACTTCCCCTTTTCTGGCTCCCCAACTTCCCTCAGCATCTTTAGAGTCCCGTTGCTCTCTCTCCCGTCCATTGAATATTAAATCATGAAATTTGTCTTGAAGATTAAGTAAAGTACCTTGGTGTGTGTATATCATAAAATAGTTTTCTGATCATCACACATCTCACCCAACTACACAAAGGCCCAGAATGTTAGAATAAGTTAGGTTGGAAGGCACTTCTGGATGCCTAGTTCACCCTTACTGCAAAAGCAAGTCTAACTGGATGAGCTTGCTTTGGAAATCATCCAGATGAGTTTTGAACATTATCTGTAGAAATAATCCCCCTTCTGCCAAGGACATATTTTGATGCCCTCCTCCTGGTACATATCCAGGTAATGTGTGAAAATACAACACTAATATTTTTCCCACATATTTTCTTTCTTCCCAATAAAGACTTAACAGGGGAGACCAACTCAAGACATTTCAAAGTGTCAAGTATTTCAGTCACTGTGGCTAACAACAAATAAAATGTCCTTTGTATTTCATAAGTCTCTAGAACATGTATCTTTATGCAGCAACCTAGCAATCCAAACATGGTGGTATCACCTTTGGTCTCTTTTCCACATTTTTGATACAAAATCCCAGCACTAACAGCATTTCAAGTGCAGATCTTACACCCAATGGATGGAAGTAGCAATCAGCATTGCAAACAATATTGAAAATGCAAGAGTTAAAGCAACTCCATTTAAAACAAAAATTACATTTTATATTATTAATTTTTTAAAATATTTTAAGAAGTAATAGGTTTTATCAGGCGTAGTGAAGATAAGTGACTGTTTAGTCACTCTTAAGAGCTACCTGGTGATCTCTCCAATTATGTAAAGAAGAATAGATCAGTTCATACACTACTGTACATGCATTACTGTATCTCCTCACAGATGCACGGTTTCTGCTCTTCAGAAATTACTCACTCAACATCATACAATAAACCAGAGGTACCAATAGGACTATAGCTTAAGCGATTTTGGCCAGTGACCTAATCTTTTAAATGTGTGATTTTCTTTAGCACCTGATGTATATTAATTAGCTACAAATAAAAGCTGCACTGATGTTTCTAGCCCCACAAACACTATTTAGCATCAAAACTTAACCAAAAGCACAATGTCTACAGTAAATAAAACAAGACCAGTCCAAATAATAAAAAAAGTGAAAAAAAGGATTAAAAAACAGTAAAAAGTTTTATGACTCTTGCAGTAGCCTGTGAAATGAACTTTTGACATTTCTGATGAGGGAGTACCTGTAGATTAAAAAAACCTACAATGCCTCATGATACACAACAGCACAAAGTGGAAACTGAAAATGTTTTCATAAGGAAGGGAGGAAATAGGATCTAGTAGTACTGAAGCTATTTGGGAAAGGGAACTGCAAATATTTAAAATATACAATTTAATTTGTTTTCTTCCATTTTTTTTTTATTAGTGAAAATCCAATTGAACATGATTATAAACCTTCCTTCACATTGTTGGACCGGAAATGTGGCAAAAGAGAAGAAAAAATACAATCTCTTACCAGCAAGTCTGTTTGCCAGGTAAATATTTCATCCAATACTTGTATGATACTCTATCTCCAACAGAATCCATATATTATTACCAGCGTCCTGTAAAATGATAAAGACAAACCATAACTCTTTGAGGAATATTGTAAATAAGAAATGCAAGTACATTGTCAGTGAGAAATACTGTATACTATTGAAATATCATATCGTATCTACTAGAAGAGTGTAGCTATTATTACAAGGCATTTTAACTAAGATTACTATTGGGAAAAATGACATTTGAAAACAATATAGCAAAATACTGGCATGTCTTTATCATTAAATTAATAAAAATGCTTATTAATTTATATTATAAAAATCTTATTAATGATAAAAAAATGAATAAAAACTAAATTGTGTTGATCTACTTGAATGAAGAGGTTTTTCTGTTGCTACTTGAAAATCCAATGTCAGTCTTGCTAGAGAAAAAACTGTTTGAAAGTATAATTTGTGTTGCTCTGCTTTACCTCCTTGAAGCTTAGTCTAAGGTAGTTACTAGATTCTTGCCTGAAGCTGGTAGAGAAAGAGAAGTACCTCTGAGAGCAAACCAAGTCACCTGTGTTTATGTTCCTCTCTTCACACAATTTGTTTAGATGGTCAGTTCAGCCTGCACTGCCAGCTTGTTAACACAGAAAACATGAATCCCACCCAGAAAGTGCAGGGGAAACAAGAATCACATAGTCTATTTTTATTTTGACAATGTTTTGCTGTCTCCCACTCCTGCAATCTGCAAAGTGGCAGTGGCTCAGAAGGCAGGCTTCTTCAGGGTTGGGAAATTTTCTTAGAGTAGAGTTCAGGCTTTAATAAAATTAATTCCCCGTGAGCAAACCCATGGTGTTAGGGTCAGAAATACTGCAGATTAATCTTCATGCATCTTTCCCAAGACCTCCCCTGAGATAATGAGAGAAGTCAATGGACAAACCTTAAAGCTGTTGTTTCATAGTGAAGGATCAGAGTGCACAAATCCCTGTTCAGGGCCCCTATTTGAATACACTTTTCATCTCCTGAGTATTAGTAAGACACATAAAGCTCAATGTTTACAAAGAAACTGCAGTATATGCAGGCTACAACATAAATATTTTACAAGTGTGCAGAACCTGCTAAAAACGATCTTTTCTCACTTTTACTAATGCATCCTTCATACCAATAACAACCTTAGTACATGTAATCACTTTATGTAAAAGGAATAGTCTTGCCAAATATGAAATGGTTGCTGAGATACAGACCAATCTGCCCAATAAGAAACAAATATTATGTTTCAATCTGTTTTTAGTGAGTCCAGGAGCATTCTCATCTTAAATGCTCTTTAAGAATATTTTCTCACTTAACATGCACCAATTAGAAGGAGGAAAAGCAGATGGCCAAAATAAATTAGAGACAGCATACCAGCCCTGCCTCAGATCATCACCATTGGCAGATCTGAGCAGCATCTCCATCCAGTCAGTAGTTAGGAAGGGAGGTATGTGGATTTTTTCCCTCTATTCCTTTCTGGAATAAAATTGGAGAGACACTGCAGCTGTCAGAGTATTCGGTTAGCAGATCTGAAGAAAGCAGAAATCTGGCCAAGGATATATAAACCCTTTTAAAGAAGAAATTTTCTTAATATCCAATTTAAACCTTCCCTGGCACAACCTGTGACGACTTCCTCCTGTCTTACTGCTTGTTACTTGGGTGATCAACCCCCACCTTGCTGCAACCTACTTTCAGGTACTTGTAGAGAGTGAGAAGGCTCCTGAGCCTCCTTTTCTCCCGACTAAATGCCCCCAGCTCCCTCAGCCTCTCCTCATAATTCTTGTGCTCCAGACCCTTCAGCAGCTCTCTTGCCCTTCTCTGGATAGGCAGAATGACATGTCTAACATATCTGTGCTACTCATCAAGAAAACTCCTAAGTAGAGTAATTTTTTTTAGATTGTTTGTTTTGTTTGGTTTTTTTGGGGGTATTTTATGATGATAGCTGCAGCTGCCCCATGGTGTTGACATCAATGGACAGCCATCCCAGACTGTAACACAGCATTATGGAGCACACACATGGTGGAGCTGAGGAGCAGAAGTCAGGGCAATAACTGGATGATGGGGAAAAAATGGGACATTAGGGATAGACCTCATCCTGTGTGTTGGAACACCTGAAGCTTTCTGAGGCAGCTGAGCTCACTGACCTGCTTCTGTGCCTGCAGAAATTAGTCACACCAAACACAGGTTTTGGCAATCCCAAATGACTTATCAAAAGTATTTTATCTTTCTGGTGAGAATGTGAGAGTATGAAGAAAGATCTAAATGCACAGTTTCACTACTGGACTAAAATAACAGACCAACCAACCTTGAAATGTTATTGTTTGCTTTATATGATTATATAAAGATTACCTAAACAAGCTATGAAGAGTATTAAGCAATCTGAATGCTGAGTGAATAAAGAAAGTGATTGCAGAGTAGTTAAGCATGAAAGAATATCTGAAAGGTTTTGGGTTGTTTTGCTTTTTTTTTCTTCTGCCTTTTAAGCTGAAGATAAATTGCAGGCCACACATGAACATAAGTTATAAGCTGGTTTGATTTTCACACAGACAATCTTATTTTTTGCAGGTATTTTTCCCCAGTTGTACTACTAGAAAGTGTAAGTACTACATGCTGCATCTAATTGACACAGCTGTATTTCTAATTAAAAAACTTCAGGCATGTTGCAGCTCAGAACTGAGCATTTAACATGCCATGAGCTTTATAAGATACCATTTGTCTCCAATATGAATTGGGTAGCCCAGTCTCTGCACTACTAGGGGCTATTGTGCTTTGCCAGGCCATTTTGAATGTCTTTTATTTATGATAAATAGTCCTTGTTAGTGTTTCCACTATTGCTGAAGGGTGTTCTACCACTTTACATTTTACTTTTCTTACCATTCTAAAAGCTTTTTTTTCAAAAGAATCAGCTTCTAAATACATTAGTTTTGTCCCTTAGACCTTGTATTTATGATATATTTTATAGTTGGGCCAGCGTTATTGTAGACAGGATTTTTCTTTGGATGAAGATATGTCAAAAATGTGTTTGCCAGAGCTTTAGGAAAGCCTTGCATGTGGGGACCTGTGCCAGATATCGCAAAAGAATAGATTCATGTAATTCCAACATTTTCAGAAATCCACTTTGTTAGAAATAACTTTTTATAGTGTTTGAGCTTTTTCAGGCTCAAATCTGGGATTCACAGAACTGTGGAAATATCGTATCATGGCATATAACACCATTTGAATTAGAGTCCTGCTGTGCTAGGCATTGAACACAAATTACATCCAGATTGTCCTTTAGCCCTAATTGCTCTCGGTTTTTATTTATAGTTTTAAAAGAAGAGACAATCAGCCATAGAAAGTTCTAGTCTTTCTTAATAATTACTTACAGACATATCTCACTGAGAACAAAACCAGTTGCCATTTTCCATTATCTATGACAATCACTCACAAAGAATACAAATTCACCCTCCTAAAATAGTACCTCTGACCTTCAGAGAAAGTGGTTATTTGTACCAACAGCCTAAAGTAAAAACTAATGTAGCCAACTGGAATCTGATGGGGCAAAAGTGATTTTTGAGTCATAACTAAGCAATAAAATCATGTTTTACTATGAATTTCAATAGTTGCAGCAATATAGCCATAAGAAACTTAAATATTTGTTTTATGGAACTTGTTTATTGACTATTTTGCACTGAATTCTCAAGATTTACACTGCAGAACTGAAGATGTTTTGACATGTGTGCAAGAATAGAAGGTGGGGCAGGACTACAAAGGAAGATATATCTCATTGTGGTATCATTGTAAAAAGAAGCACAGCTGAGAGGCTGGAACTAGATGACCTTCAAGGTCCCTTTCAACCGAACCATTCTATAATTCTATATGATTCTATGGTTTGCTAGGACATGTGGCAGCTTGGAAACATGATTTAGAGTGAAGGTCAATTTAGAGTCAGGAAATGTGAATTCTATGGAGATTTTTCTTAAATTAGAAAGTCAAAAACATATGACTTCAGAGAGCCTAAAAGGCAGCTCAGTTGCCACGGAGTACTGGCCTCTACCAGACGCATAACAAGTGGCCTCTGCCACTTACATAATAGGGTGAAGCATCTCACCTTAGATTCCAAAGAGCATGTCAATACCTAAAGGACACACCTCAGAGGTCTTGCATCAGATTGCACACCACCATGTAAATGGCTGGGATGCACCCTGCAATATCTCTGGAATGCCAGAACACTCCCTTGTTGAGGGAGTTTGTATATAAATGTAAAAAATGAGTATTTTTATATATATATACACACATAGGATTCTACTGCACCTTCTCAGGCCCCTAATTTGTCCAATTCATCTTGCTCTTAAATCACACACACAGGAGATGGATAAAAGGAAGATAGACAAGGAGCACGGCATGAAAGATTTAATGCCATGAAATGAAAATCTGGCCTTGAATTCCCTTTTTCCTTACAACCATCTATTGCCATTCAAGTTACCTCAGGGAGGCAGGTCACCCACACTTTGATTCCTCTTCAGATTTTGTGGCTGACAAAGGGAATGTTAGAACTCCCTGTACTTCAAAACTAATTTATATTTACATCCATTTTGCCAAAGTGTTACTTTAAGTGTGATGTGAAGGAGCAGTCAGTTTAAAGACTATAGTAAGCATTTACACATATTACTTTGGTATATCTCACAGTGGGATATTCACAAAGGCTAACTCAAATCATAGACAACTTAAAAATAATTTCCCCAGGCTTCCCTTATAGTCAGTTCAGGGAAAGGATCCTCCAGAGTGTGATCCAGATTAGAAGACTAACTTTTGCTAGCTTTTCTAACTGTTCTCCAAAGAGGATCTTTTTTATGAGTAATTGTCAGTCAATTCTCTTGCAAATAAACACCTGCTTCAAACATACAGACAACATAAAATTAGTCTCTTGCTGGCATCCTCACTGATTTTTCAGAGTAGCATACACTCCTATCAAGTTACAATTATTTTGCAAAATACCACTTTACCAGCAGGGTAGCTGTGTAAGGCAGCACTCAGCACTTGAACCATCACTGCATCACCTTTTTCAGCAC